AATAAAAGGTCGATAAGGTCTTTTCCGCTCCTTCACCTTCTTGGATTTGGAATTTTGTTGTCGTCATCCTCATCGATTTTGCTCTCAATCTCTCTTCAAATTCGTCTCAAGAAATACGTCTCTTTGGTGAATTTCCACGGGGATAATTGAGAAACGAAGATCGAAAAGAAGAAATTTTGTTCTAGAGAGAAACCATCTAATCCATCCATGGCTGCTGCTATGAGCGAGAAGGAAGCTATGGTGGATCCTTTTTTGGTCGAGGCTCTTCAAAACCCTCGTCATCGTCTCACAAGTAAGTCAATTTCTTGCAAACCCTTGATTTCTAAAAGTCAATTTTTTTTATCTTTGATCTGATTATGGTTCGTTATTGGCTTGTGGAATTCTGGGTTTTTCGAATTAGAGGTCATGGTTAGTGTTTTGGTTGATTTCTAAAAATTATCTTTTGGCTTATTGAAATTTCAAAACTTTGTTTCCCCCTTGAAAATGTTTCTTCTAATTTGGTCAAATGGATTATAAGATTCTCTCTCTTTTATAGATCCTTGACACTCTTTATGTTTGATAGGTTCGAAAACTGTGTATAAGCATTATGTATCTTGGAAGATATTTCTTCTAATTTGGTCAATGGATGATAACATTGCATCTTGTTTTTTTTTGGGTGTGCTAGTTTTGCGTATGGAGCTCGATATACAGAAGTTCTTTCAAAGTCCAGAGCAGCAACAATTTGAGTTCAGGCCTTTTCCAACATCTTATCTTCGTCTTGCTGCACACCGTGTCGCTCAGCATTACGGATTATTTACCACGGCTTTAGACAGTGGTGGTGTTGATGGCTCAGAGAACAGAATCCTGGTGACTAAAACGGTGGAAAGTAGATACCCTTTAGTGTGTTTGTCTGAGATTCCTGTAAAGCAACCTGAGTTTCATCGTAGGCCTGAGGGTTTCAAACTCGCGATCAAGCCTAGACCCAACAGAGGATCTAGTGGGATAGGTAGTGGTTCAGGAGTAGAAAAGAATCTTTT